GTACTGATACAACCCCTGCATGGTATTGATCGTGGTGTACTTCCGACATTCAGGTGCTATCTCTAGCTGGTGGTAGGCTTGCGACAAATCCAGCTTCGTGAATTTAGACCCCGGGCCCAATTTGTGCAATAGCTCCTCAAGAGTGGGTAGCGGGTATTGCTCGCATTTAGAATGCAGATTGATAGTGCCACTGTAGTCACCACAGATTCTCAACCCACCTCCTGATTTCTCTACCGTGACAGTGGGGGAGGCCCATTCTGAATGCGTGACTTTCTCGATTATACCATCTGCTTCCAATTTATTCAGAGCCTCAACATAGCTCTCCCGAATTGACAGTGGTACCGGCCTTGCCTTTCGGTAAACAGGGCTCTCATCAGACACATGCAATTTCACCTGCACGCCTTTCACCTTTCCCACTTCTGAGGTGTCGAACAACCCTGGGTATTTCTCAATGAATTTAGCGCCAGACTTTTCGACCTGGTGCACTTCGAAAATTGATTTCCAGGGGAGTTTGAACAAAGCCATTGCATCTCTGCCCAGAATAGATGGACGGTTTCCATTTGTAACCCTCACCAATAGTGTGTGCAATTGTGTGCCCATTCGGAACTCCATTTCCGCTTCCCCGAGACAATTAATCACATCTCCAGAGTAGGACACAAGGTTGATACTGGATTCCATCAGGTTACTCAGCACACCATTGCATTGCAAGAAATCTGCGCTGCTGAGAATCGTGACAGCACTTCCCGTATCAATCTCCATTTGGATAGTGGTACCCATTACATCTAATGATACAGTGTACGGTAGTCGCCCCATTGCATTTACACTATACATGGTGACATCGGGTTTACTAGCACATGGAACGAACTCACCAATTTCTTCCGCGATGTGATGGACGGTTTGTCCAGACTTCTTCTTGCGGCAAGCTCTCTCGATGTGACCCACCGTACCACACGCGTGACACTTCACACTCTTGAAGCGGCACTCTTCCGGTTTGTGACCAGCCTTGTCACACCGAAAACATTTCTTGTCGTGCGACTTGAAAGTTGGAGTTGGCGCTCACGAAAATCACCTTTTTCAAATATTTCAAGCTTCGATCGCGACATCTTCGTCTTTTATCTTCGTCGCCAAATTGTTATGTCCCCTTGCGGACTAACATTCCATTACACTCATGCATTCTTACTGACACACACAAACACTAGCATTTGTAAGACATTCCTCTTGGTCAGGTAAAGTAACAACAACAACCATATGCGAGCATGCGCAGTCAGTAGCAAACGGTGTAGTAGATATATAATGACTAACTTGCATACACAACAAGGAGTTAGTTACTTGTGTTGTACATGTGGCTGCGCTTGTGTCTCTTTGTTGTACATGCGGTTTTTGTCGTACATGTGGCTGCTTTTGTGTCTCTTTGTTGTACATGTTGCTGAGTCGTGGTACATGCTGCTGCGCTGTTTTTGACTCCTGCGTACATGCGGCTGCACCGTCTTCTGTCCCCGTTGGTATACACTTGCTCGTCTTGTCCCCGTTGTACGCCTTCACTATAATATATTCTGTTGTCTAATCTTATCTCAGTGTCAGTCGTCAGTCGTTCATTGTCAGTGTTGGTTCTTCTTTATGAGTTCCCCAGTCGCCTACTGAAATGAAGTAGAAGAAAAAGCTCTCTAACAAGTTGTACTGGTCCTTTGTGGTGTGGCGTGGTGAGGAGCGTAGAGGCAGTTCGTTCACGGTTTTCAAACCCGTGACGACATTTGCTCGCGGGGGGTTTGTTGTTGTGTGGAGTGGCGAGGAGAGCAACAGTTCGTCCAATTAAATTGACGACATTTGGCGCCCAACTAATCTTTCCCACGACCCTGAAGCTCGTCGACGCGTCGCCGTCAGCTCGTATTCCTCGTCTCCTCGCCGCCCCACCAATGTCTCACGACCGTCCAAGCCTCTCATGAGAGCGCCTACTCAGGTGAGAATGCCTTTGTAATTGTCTACTCTGCGTAATGTGTTGCCGTAACTTGTATTCGATTTCGAATTTTTTCAAATTGTTTTGCGTTGGGTGACTCTGGTCCCGGCAGGAAGTCCGTGGAACCTTGTTCTCTTGTGCTCGAGTGTGTAGTGTAGTCTAGCTGCTCGTTGTAAATTCGCCCCGTTGTGTTCGTTGTTCCTGTGTCTCTCTGACTACCCTGTACTGTACGGTTGTGTGTATGAAAATTTCAAACTTCTCTTCGTGTGCTACGCGTTCGAATCTGGAACTTGTTTTTGCTTGCTCGTCGTGAATTCAGCATGGGTAGCTTTGATCTCGTCTTGTGTTGTGCACTTGTGCTTGTCACGGAGACCGAGTTGCCGCCGGACTGCTCCGATATTGTGACTGTGTCGTGTGATTGGTTTGGATGTCCACCTGAACGTTCTCGAGGTGCTGCCTCGTTTGTAGTCGATCCATATTGTTTTGTTTCGTGTTTCTACCGTTTCACTAGTACTAGTAGTAGTAGTAGTGGTAGTGGTAGTGGTAGTGGTAGTGGTAGTGGTAGTGGCAGTGGCAGTGGCAGTGGCAGTAGCAGTAGCAGTAGCAGTAGCAGTAGCAGTAGCAGTAGCAGTAGCAGTAGCAGTAGCAGTAGCAGTAGCAGTAGCAGTAGCAGTAGCAGTAGCAGTAGCAGTAGCAGTAGCAGTAGCAGTAGCAGTAGCAGTAGCAGTAGCAGTAGCAGTAGCAGTAGCAGTAGCAGTAGTAGTAGTAGTAGTAGTAGTAGTAGTAGTAGTAGTAGTAGTACCGTACTGGCAATATATGTTGCCGCGTAACGCGTAACGCGCGACCAGGCTAGTGCGACAAATTTTCGTCAAGTTCGTAATGCTCGTCCGGCGGGGTGCGGCGATCTTTTCATTGCAGTTTGCACTGCAAAAAAAAGGCTGAAAACTGTGAAAGCACGTGTTACGCGTGGTGAAAAGTTCAAAACTGGACGCAGCAGCTACGCGAAGTCCTGACACTCGAAGGCGCATCATTCAGTGGTTGGCGATCTCAATGGTTTCTTCTTTCCCGAGGTCGTTTTGCGAAGAAGAGTAATATGTTGTACACTCATTAACTGTGTGAGTGACAGAAGTTTTTGGAGGAAGCGCTCTTCCCCTATGTCACTTTCTTTTGATGATCTTTTTGTGAACAGATCACTCTGATAGTTAAAATATACAGTCTTCTATTGATATCGTTGTCGCCCTTTGCCGTCGGGTTTGTAACAGTTGGATAGCAACTGAATTTCTGTGCCTTCAATGTGGATGAAAAGAAAAAATGATGCGGCAAAAGCAAAAAAATGATGCGGCAATAGCAAAAAAGTGATGCGGCAATAGCAAAAAAAGGACTGCGGCAATATAGAAACCTGTGTAACGGCTCCTGTGCGACTTTGCATGTAACGCCCTGCGTGCGGCAAACATGTGCCAAAGTAACGCTTCATGGCCTCACTGCGGCAACATATATTGCCAGTACGGTAGTAGTAGTAGTAGTAGTAGTAGTAGTAGTAGTAGTAGTAGTAGTAGTAGTAGTAGTAGTAGTAGTAGTAGTAGTAGTAGTAGTAGTAGTAGTAGTAGTAGTAGTAGTAGTAGTAGTAGTAGTAGTAGTAGTAGTAGTAGTAGTAGTAGTAGTAGTAGTAGTAGTAGTAGTAGTAGTAGTAGTAGTAGTAGTAGTAGTAGTAGTTTCTCCATGTTCCGTGCAGAGTATTGTCAGGCTCGGTCATGCACTGTGCACCCAGTCGGAAAGCTGGTGGCTTCCGGTTTGGTGGGAGGTGTGAACTTCATGTAGGATTCTCGTTTCGGATCCAGGGTGAATTTTGTTTGTGAGCGTATGGTTTTGTAATAATTGTGTTTCGGCATGTAGGTCTCTCTAGTTCGTTTGGGTGGGCGTCTGATCATGGCGAGCCACGGTCTGCGTGGTGGTCTGCAGGGATCCTGCGTTTTTTTGTGACAGGGGGGTTGAGTCTGCAGGGGAAGAATACAGTGATTGAACTGAAGCTGGATGATGACCGTGTGGTGAGTGTGTGGGGGTTTCGAGATGCCGTCCTGGGGCAGGGATGTCGGTCTTTTAGCTTGGACGGGTGTTGTTACATTCATTGTAACATTTTGTCGTTTTCTGTGTGTTTTGCTGTGCGACTACAGTAGCAGCAGTGTCTTGTGCTAATTTTTCTTATGATATCAGGCCCTATGCGTACAATTATTCAAAAAGAAAAAAAAGAAAAAATATCAGGAAGGAGATATAATAATATCAATAATAAAGCCATTGCCGAGCCACCGTGCTCACAGCAGAGACTTCTGTGTGTGTTATTGTTGTGAAGTGGACCACAAAGACAGTGTGAAATTGACATACTATTGTAGTACGTTATTTTGTGTACGTGGTGTGTACGTGATGTTGGTGCATGCGCGTGTTGCTGTGGTGTGAAAAGCAGTCTTTGTCTTGAGTTCGTCATGTCTAGTTGTGTTTCCGGAGTCGTCTTGTAATATACAGTCTTTCCAATGTAGTTATCATGGTCCAATTGTCTGAGTGTGGAGATGACACGGGACTGGGAGCAGGTGAAGAAAAGCTATCTACAACATTGGTGGCAGCGGTGATGGAAATTGTTGTACACTTCAACTTCCGGATTCGTCCTGCGTGGCCTTTGCTCCCAGTTTCCCAGGAAAACACGTGGTGTGTTTTATAATGCGCAGTGCAGGCATACAATTTCAGTTTATTTCAGGGTGTGACAGTGCATGTACTGGCAGATGTAACTGGAGCTAAGTAGTGTGCAACCGCATCTCCAGTCACCGTGATTGAAAGTCAATACATCAACAGCGGAAGTGTTAGCCATGTATAACATAGAACCTAGACTACAGGACGTGTAGCAGTGAATGCCAGTGATACAAAGTATGCTGCATACGACGGGAGTTGCTTGTCGCCAACGTTGCCTACTGGGGCAATACAGGGCAAAGATAACGGCACATAGTGATAGGTCATACATAGTAATATTGATCAAGCTCAGAGTTTCACAATCACTTACGCGTGTCTTCTGGGATGGTAGCTGGGATCTGCGCTTGGCTGGTGGGATTAGTAGTTGGTGTCGTTGCTGCGGCTGTTGTGGGGGCTGGGGTCGTGGGGGCTGGTGTTGTTGTGGCTTGTGTTGTGGGGGCTAGTGTTGTTGGTGTTGTGGGGGCTGGTGTAGTTGTGGCTGGTGTTGTTGTGGCTGGTGTTGTTGTGGCTTGTGTTGTGGGGGCTAGTGTTGTTGGTGTTGTGGAGGCTGCTGTAGTTGTCGCTGGTGTTGTTGTGGCTGGTGTTGTTGTGGTTGGTGTTGTGGGGGCTGGTGTTGTGGGGGCTGGTGTTGTCGTGGCTGGTGTTGTGGCGGCTGGTGTTTTGGCGGCTGGTGTTGTGGGGGCTGGTGTTGTGGGCGCTGGTGTTGTGAGGGCTGGTGGCATTGTTGCTGGTGCAGTCCTTGGTTGTCCAGCTAAACAAAGAGGAGGCAAATAGGAGGAATACAGAAGTATGGCAAACAGAATCTCAATAATTTAGAATTCTCTACATCAACATAGTAATCGCAGTAGTCTCAGTAATTATGGTCTTGTAGAGAGTCAACTGTGTGGTTTTCCATGACAAGAGCAGATTTGCATAATGGCACACAAAGAAATAAATCCAGTTGTGAAACTGATGAGACCTTTCGTACCATTACTTCTCAATTCAGCACGTGGTAACGAGAGAGCCTGGAAGCTCATGGCCCTACGCTATGCTTTTTTTGCCTAGCGAGAGTCAACTTTCTCTTTGCATTCGAGGGTAATACGACTTCATCTACCGCCTTGATGACCTAGGCAAAAAAAGCATAGGGATGTTATAAATTTTTCATTTCTCCTTTTTTTTAAGACATAACCTAGGATTCGAACCCGCACTATCGCCCTGCATGCATTCCCCCGATACACTTCACATATACTCATTCTTCCAAGTTGCTTCACGTTATGATCTTGCATTTGAAAGCCCTATTTGACTATTGTGGCCAGCTGTCTTTGATGGTACGGTACGGGACAGGTACGGGATAGCGCAAGGCATTCCGATGCTGTCCTTGATGGTACGGTACTGGACAGGCACGGGATAGCACCAGGCATGCCGATGGCACAAACAAACAAACAAACACGGAAATAAAGCTGTGTGGACTCTGGCTAGCGCCAGACGTTACCGAAGTAACGTCTTTTGTATAGCCATGGCCAGCAATTGAGGACATCTGAGAGTTGTAATTTGTGTACTCCACCGAGGTGTGATTTTTGGCGTGCTGGGCCAAGCACAAGGAAGCCATCTGCAAAAAAACTGCAGAAAATGGTTGTTGTTTGATCCTTTGGTGTAATCTTTGTTTCTAGTCGAAGCTTGTTGCTGTTTGGAGCAGAAACGCTGAAATTGACTATTTTCTGCATGTACTCATACCTGTACTCATGTACTCAGTCATGCAGTCTCACTCGTATTTTAGCTCTTTTTCTGGAATGGATGCTGCTCTGCGCCCCTTGGTGAATATTTCCTGCGCTCGTGGAGCAGCTGAAAAGGACCACTGGTATGTCTAGTTCCTGGTTTGAAAGTGGAGAGTCGACTTTTGTGCCTTGAAAAAGGAGTAGAGAGCGATAAAGGTACGTCTGTTGCTTATTTTTGAGTGCTCCTCGTACATTTTTGATCGTGATAGAAATTCTCAGACCAAAGTCAGACCAAAGTCAGCGCGATGATGGCCGTACAGTTTTCTTGTGGATTTTTTAGTTGTTTCATCTAGTATCTATGTCAGTATCGTGATGGTGAAGTGGAGAGGGTGATTTTCTTCCTCTAGGCTTCGTTCGGCCGACTTTGCTTCGTCCTCGTTGAAAAGTGATCCTGAAAAAAATGTCGATTCGCAAAATTATGTTGATTTTGAATGTACGTGATGACATGCGATTGCTGGCTATGTAAGGGAATAAACGTGATGAAGCACAAGTTCAATGGATACAGTTTATCCCTATTGTCTTCATGCACTGGGTCGAGACCCATATGTTGGAGACTGCCACCCTCCCGCCATCACTCTATGCAAGGTACATCGACGATACAATTTCAATTTGGATCTATGGCTCAGCTGCTCTACGGGTATTCATTGCCCACTGCAAAAGCCAGCGCCCTATGAACAAGTTGACTTACTAAAGCAGTGAAAATGGACCTGTTCCATTTCTTCACGTTTGCTTTGAGGTTACCCCTGACGACGGCACCATTACACACCGCCTGTACAGGAAGCCTAGTAACAGCGGCGTCAACGTGGACTTTCATCCCCAAGTGCCTCGCTCCGTCAAGTATGCGGTCGGTAAGCAGCACTTCGTCAGGGCTCGAAAGAATTCGTCTTCACCAGCACAAGCCTGTGAGAGTCTCGGTATGACGAAGAAATTGCTGCGAAGCAACAACTATCCCGAGGCAATCATCGAAGAGATTGCTGCAAAGCAACAACTATCTTGAGGCAATCATCGAAAAGTTGGCACACTGCCCAACGACGTGAGGCAAATGAAGAAAGATGCTGCTATACTGAAGCTACCCTTTCGCTTAGGAGATAGAAGAGATTCAGCAGAAGGCGAAGAATTTAGTCGAGCGCTCAGGGTTCCTGGTTAATGTCGTGTCTGACACACCCCCAACCTCAAAGATGCCCTCGTGAAGTCAGCGCTGAATCCAACGAAGTGCAGCGTGACACAAGAAGGAGTGAGGCGCCGAGAACAGCGGAGGCGAGGAAGACCGCTCAACCCCTGCATCTCATGCTCCTCTGGTTTGCCGAGCTGCATGTGTGATTCCCCGGCATTATCTGTATGATCAAGTGCGCACTAACTGTGTCGGAAGCGATATGTCGGTGAGACCTTCAGGGTCGCAAGAGACCTTTTTCATCATATTGTGAGAGTCGTGGGCCAATAGCCCCGGTGAGAAGGCAGTCTTGCCTGTTCATATGGTGAAGTAAAATAAAGAAACAACAACAACAACAACCGTTTTGAGGAACACCACTAGGAAGCATGTCACAGGATGCTCGACAAACCGTGGGGTAAACACATGGCTACTGATCCCGAGCAGCACAGAACCATGAATAGCACAAATGTGATTTTCATTGAGGCACAAGTACTGGCTGTGAAGACATGGATGGCCAGAAGAAAAATCAGGGAGTCAATCAAGATTCGAGAGCGTCGTCCGGAGATCAATATCTCCTTCGGAGGGCTATTAAAGGCGCTAGCACCCTTTGTTGTTGTTGTATACTTTATTTATAGTGGAAATCAAAACAGGCAAAATGCCTAATAACATTGGACCCACTGTGAATAACATGTTAAAGGATATTGTGGAAAAGTAGATACAAGAGAAAAAGAGAAAGGAAAGAAAAAACGGAAGGTTGGTTGCAACGAACAGATATCAATCCAGTGAGCATTGGAAAACCTATGTCGCTGATAATATATACTGCAAGGCTTGAGATTTAAAATCCAAATACCTATTTGAACATTTTGCTGCTGGTGGCCATCTATTCCACATAATGGCTCCAGCGTGCGTTAGGCGCTTAGCAGAACGAGCAGTGCTAGCAGGTGGAACCACAAGCAAGTTGCTTTGGCCTCACCCTCACAGTGAAACTGCTAAATCTTGCTGTATCTGTACAGGGTTGTACACACAATGATTGTGGTATAAACCTTCGTACACACATTTCCTGCACTTTATCTGCTGAGCTCTTGCATACCCGCTCTTTCAGTGCACGTTTCCTTGTCTGCTGTGCATGCGAATTCATACACTCAATTTCATACGGCCATTGTGTGTGTTCGTTTGTTTTGTACATGGACATACATCACTAATAAAATAAATTTACATCCAGCTAATACGCCAAAGAGTGAATAGCAACTGAATAGAGCGGTTGTCAGTTGACAACCCCCCTTTTATTTACAATGCAGTTGCGTGATGTCCACCACTTTCTGAGTATGCAGGTGAAATAGGCTGGTTTGACAAGTAATGGCGTCAAAGGACTCGTGACGTTCACAACTGGTTTCGTCTCTTTGTGTGCTAATATGTCTCCCTCGGACTAAAGTCCTTATTGAAGGATCGCATCACTAGTGGCGTTTCCGTCACAATTTGCTGGGAGACAAATATATGAAGGCAAATACAAGAAGGACATTCTTCAGGTTCTTCAACAACATTCTGAGAGCGTTCGAGAGTGTACTGTCGACTCCACTTAAAACGAACTCGCACCTGGCAAATTTCGTGATATAGCAAACCAGTGTCCATGTCGCTCCCTGTTTGAACCCATACAAAATTGACCCCTCAGGGCCCCTTGCACACCATGTAGAAAAACGCCTATGTGCTGCGTTCCAGTAAAAGTTGTCATGTCAACTGACGGCATACGGTGGAAAACCTAGAAAGTAGCGCAAGGGTTTCTGCCGACCTTGGACGGGTATTGAAGGTTTCTTTTGAAGCTTTTAGGCGTTCCTGAACTTCCAGAGATAGGAACTTCATTCTTGTGACCGTGATGTTTTGGCGCTGTGTGGATATCAATCCTGTTTCCTGTTTCAGACTTCCATTGACTTTTTGCGCACTTCTGAACTTTTCGTACTTGAGCTCTTGTTATTCGGGCCGTGGTAGGGCGTACTATAGTTCAGTTTTACAAGGTGAGTATGAGACAATCCCAAGCCGTCCAAAGGTTGCAACCACTTCTCTAGTCCACGGTACTGGTCCGCAACAGCATGGCGAACATTGTCGTCAGCATTAAACTTGAGCACCTGTAATCGATCGTCTTGAAAATATCAAGAACAGGAAATAGCCAGCGATCACACGACTTCAGTAGCTTTTGGAGATCCTGAAACATCACTGATCACTGCAAAGGCCGCCGCCGTCTCTTGCCGGAGTCTACCTGAGGTCCATAGGTATGGCTACAACAGGAAAGATGCAGAACGAATTCAAAGAAAACAAAGTAGTCGTTCTGAGAACAGCATTTCTCGTCTGAACTGCAGTTTCTTGTTGAATCTCGAGGCGCGCGCGCCACTAACTCGCACTGCACTGCAAGGGTACTGCAGACCACTCGTCAGCGTGCAACTGCACTTGAACAAGCTAGTGCATACACAGAGTATGCTCAGGTTTGTTGCGTTCTACATGTAACCAGTTTACAATGGTCCTAATAGCGAACAGGTTTCGTTTGTAGCCAACCATAGCTCGTAGGGCCGCATGCAATCTAAGTGCAATCATGCTGTCACGGGTCACACGCCAATCATGATGTGTTGCTTGTATGGCGTGAGTGCTTTAATTTTAAAGAACTTCAGCTACAAAGAACTAATTCACCTGGACAATGGTGTTGGTAACATCAGGAGTCGACTGCACTGTCTAGCCTTCTCGTCAGGTGAATACAGGAAAGCGCAAAGGAACAGTGACAATTGATTCAGTGCAGCAGAGAGGTGATAAAACAGCACAAGTGTTGTACATGTGGCTGCGCTTGTGTCTCTTCCT